AATAAGCCCCTTACATGTAAGAGACTTCGAAACTCTTTGACGATACGTCAAAAAATTATATATAATAAAAACTAAAACATTTGTTTTATTTTAGAAAGTAATTTGTTGAAAATAATTTTAATGGATTAATGAGATTTTTAAAATGACATCAAAAACACGATATAATTCGGATAATTTTTACTTAGATAAGAAAAAAAATATTTTATCTAAGTTTTAAATTTATATCTGATTGAAATTTATCCGAATAATGTCGCGTTTTTTTATGTCATTTTATTTGCAAAAATCTTATTAATCAAATAAAATTACATTTAGAAATATAAGAAATATAAAAATTTTATAAAAGTTTTTATATTGTTGCATCCGCGCGTCGACTTCGATAATACTCGAACACGCGCGACACAAACGGCACTCGCGTACCGCGACGTAAATGATTAAACCTCTTTTAAAAGAACAAAAGGAACTTTAATAATAACACAGAACACACAATTAAACAAGGAACACAGAACGGGTAATAACGGTAATCGTAATCTCAAATATGTCCGCCCGGAATGACATCCGTCGCGAGACTTTAGCTAGATGGCCGATCTCACTCTCAAGATGTCCGCCGTTGTTTTACAACAACCCTTAGCGACGTGTTTGGAGATGATCTCTTAGAGACGGGAGCAACTTCAGGATTAACTACCACAGACGACTCGCAGGAACGCAACAATATATTCAATAAATGCATTCCGTTAGACACTATTTCTGCTCCGAAGTGTTTAGTGGACAAATGAGAGTGAAGAATCTTCTTCTTCGAGCGAAAATAGTGTTAAGCCCACTTTACACGATTTATAATTTGCAACAGAATTCAAGACAGAATTCTATTTATAATTTTTATGCGTTGTGTAATAAATACAGAAAACATGTGAACAAACAGAATTATAACTATCATGCTTTATTTTTATAAATAGAAAAGACGCATGAAATATGCGCAATGTACCCATGATTGGTGAATTGTAAATGACATAAACTACAAGTTAACCTACTTTTGTATCTGCTTAATAATCTAAAGAAAGAAAAGAACAAAAAAATATATGTGACAATGTCTTGGTCCCGGGAGCAAGTTACTTGAATTCTGTCTGGAATTCTGTTGCAAATTATAGATCGTGTAAAGTGGGCTTTAAGCAAAGCGTATCTATTGTTAAGTTTATTTTCAAAAGATTTGTATAGTATTAATTATCTTATCGTTTTACTTATGTGATATATATAAATTATGCTTATATAAATTTATATATAATAGCTTTTAATATGTACATCAGTGTGCACTAGTGCATCCAACTGAATTTATAAATTAAAAAATTACTTAAATAATATAATTAATAATTAATTAATAATTAATTATAAAAAGCTATATGAATTAAAAGCATGCTTTAATATTGCTTAAAATGCTTGATAATTTTGTTTCAAGAATAAGAAAAGAGAGAAAGCAGAAAAAAATCTTTTCAAGGAATATTGATTATATTATATAATAGAATCTTCAAAGCCGTATTAAATTTTTATACATAAGTTTTTAGTTCTAGAGTAATTTAATTAAAAGTGGGCATTTTATTTTGAACATTTTAATGAGAAAATTTGCATCAATTCTCTCTTAGTACGAGTTAAGAATGGAATAGTCATACATTTACAGAGAAATTTAGACATCTCCCAAGATTTCATTAAGACTGGCTGCTGACGAAATAGGGATCGTTATTATCAATGACAGTTAAGTTTGAATCTTTTTAATTCACTGTGTATAACTGTCTATGTCTAGATAGTCGGTGGAGATTATTATAACTGTCCGTAGAGAAAGTATATACTAGAATGACAAAGCATCATGCGCAACTATATATATAATAAAACATTAATAAATCCATAATATTTCTTCGGAATTTTGATCCACAATTATAAATATAGCACACACATGCACTAACCGGTGGTTTTATCGTAGCACCAAAAAGTGAATCTGGCCATGTAATTCCGCCGACTTTAAAATGGATCTATCTCGGATAGAAAATTTTTTATATATACTTGGCGTCGCGACGCTACCGCGTCGCTTGATAAGAATATAATAATATAAAAAGTAATATTATACCTACAAATATGTGTATCGTATTTTATAAAATTTATATCATAAACTTTGGTTTTCTTATGTAATGGAAGAAGTATGCTATTTAGGTATTCCACATTGTTATGTATGTCCGTTTTTCAAAACATTTTATTGATAAATGTCCTCTTTTACCGCACCTAGTGCATGTAAAATTTGCTGCTGGGCATGCAGATTTAGATGCAATATGTGTTAAACCATAATGATTGCAATTTAAAACTTTTAGAATCGAACATTTCCAGGAGAAGTGATTTGTTCTATTACATCTATTACATTCATTCAAATAAGCAGGACACTCTCGAACAAAATGACTTTCCCCACAATATAAGCAATTAGCAATAAATTGAGACGGACATCTTGTCCAATAGTGATTTTCGTTACCGCACTTATTACATTGTTTTCCACGAGCATAACAATTATTTACTTTATGTGTCCTTCCACAATTATTGCAGTTTTTAACTAAAAAATTGTGGATTTCCTCACTTCGCTTGAAGTTTGCGTTCTCATATGACATCCAAATATACGTTATTTCTTTTACAGTTAACAATTGTTTGCACGATGGAAATGAGAATCCCAAAATTAAACTTTCAGCTTTCCTTGTAAATCTATCTTTATTTATTTCCATCAGAATTTTCTCTTTCACTATTTCATCTGTATTAGTCATATATTTTGACGCCATTATCTAAAAAACAAAATTATTTATTTAAGTTTTTATACATAAAAAAATTAAATATCTACATTTTATGGAGAATACAAAATAAAAATATATTGTATATCCATTGCACTTAATATTTTAGGCATTTTACATTGATGTCAAAAATAAAGAAGGTAAGAGAGAATACTTCCAATCCTTCAGATAGAATGATTTTAGAAACTAGAACAAGAGAGAAACAAAGAGAGAGAGAGAGAGAGAGAGAGAGAGAGAGAGAGAGAGAGAGAGAGAGCTATAACTCTTTTATGCGACAGAAAAAAATAACACATGAAAATTTTGCGTAGTTTAATGAATTCTATCTTGCCCCTATAATTATATAATGTTTTTCAAAACTGATTTAGCTATGATTAAAAATAATGTTTTATGAGAAACGGGTTGGTGAAAATGATAAAAATATTCACACTAACATACCGTCAAGTCGTTGACATATTTATCAATATCTTCATCATCTTCTCTTTTTTTATCTCCAAATATGCAATAGAAATCAAATTTTTTTAGCAATGTATCTATATTATCTTCAGCGTGATCCTTATCAAATGTAAAACTTCTATAAATTTCTTGGCCGATAGGACCCATACGATTTAAGAGCATTATACCCCACTTGTGTTTATTACTCTCTGCTTGGTCAATTGATTTCATGTATGTGAGGAACTCATTTTTCCATGAAAACCATTCCGTCATAAAGTCATCTTTTGTAGATATTGTAGATGGTGCAGTTACTTTAATTGTAGATTTATTTTTCAGATAAGTTGTTTGATTTTCATTATTGCATTTTTCTTTATTAACGCAGGTGTCAGTCATAAATTTAGATTGATCATTAACTGCATCATTAGGTAAGTTATGTGACTTATCAAATTTATGAAATAAATCTTGTAATTTTCTTTCACTGCCAGTTTTGCATGCATCATGAATATTTTCAAATGGATTAAATGGAAACTGTTTGGTACCCGTAATGGTACCGTCTTCCTTTATTATGTAACCACTGTAACCGGGTTGCCTACACTTTTTGCTATAATTATCGTGTTCGTCTTTACTTTTGGAATTACCTGCAATATTATTTTAATTATGGTTGTTTATAACTTGTTTAGAAGTGTTATTTGTAAATAAAATAAATAATACTACAAAAAAATAATGAAAAATACCCATTTCTTTGTAACTGCGCACTATTTTATACCAAACAAACTTTTTAGTAATTTACTTGTCTAGTAATTCATATATATTTCAAAAATAAAATAATATGTTGTACGGAATAAATTCTAGTAAAGCCTGTGGAAACATATATAATATTACTTAGTTCTATAAAACCATATTTGAGAAAGAGAGAGAGAGAGAGAGAGAGAGAGAGAGAGAGAAAAAAGAAACAAAAGAATAAATTTTTAAGGAACTTGGAACATTTTTCTCGTGAATTGTTTCAAAATTCTGTGAAATATATGTGCCATATGTGTACTATTCGAAATAACATAAAAGAAATTTTGGCATAATTTTTGTTACACTTTTACTTTTCGTAAAAGGGTAATCAAATATAATCTTAAAACTAAATTAATGTGCTTTATAATTTGTAGATGTAAATACAAGATATGATTAAATATAATAATAATCTAAAATTCATATTTGACTAGAAAGTAGTAGAAAAAATATCGATTCGTAATTTATAATTTCAAGCTTCACTGAATTCTTCTATTCTTATTCAAAATACAACTATCTTAAAACGATTGTAGTTTAACGTTACACGTTTTACTGTCTTATCCGTCAGAAAAAATACAAGGTTTAGTCATTCTGTTATTTGATCTTTCAGTGAAAAAATTACAGAAAAGTATTTATATACAGGGTGTTTCATAAATGGTGGGAAAAACTTACAATAACTCAGAAACTAATCATTTCCGGACCTATAATTGATATAACTTTTTTTTCTTCGCTAAGCATTAGGAATCCATTACTGAAGTTTTGTCCACAATTTATGAAACACCTTGTATATCATCTTATATATATGCTAAATATATAATATTTTTTCCGTTCCGTATACTATACCTTTTTCACAAGTATTTATACGCACAATTACAACATACGCTCTTAGCAACAATTTCTGGTATAACAATAGTTATATGCGAGCCTGTTACCATCTTTACTAGTCTTCGCGAACTTCACTTCTACCTTTTTATCTGGTCTCTCTCGATATAAATACTACATATACGTATTTCCCCTTTGTCATTGGACACAAACTGACGTAACTGGTAAATTCCACACGAATGACACACGATGCATCTGATTATGGCTGCGTTCCGTTATTAACTGCCAGTAGGCCAGTATGCTGAAAACGTATAGTTTACGTCACATACACTATAGATTTTTAGTACTGGCATCTACTGAATATCGGAACACAATCTACATCCTACATCAGTACCAGATCGACTAGAAATGCAGCGACCATGCAGCATGCATTTTCAATAATTTTACTAGCAGAGAAAAGTTTGAGATTTGCATTTTTAAGACATTTACCTTAAGTTTTGTACATATAATGTTCTATGAAAAACGCCGGGATGATCGCGGTCAGGTTTCTTTATTACTAATTTATATACGCGATGTGTAGCATGAAAACATGTACAGTGTGCCTTAGGCTTAATATTTTGTTAACATAAAACATGAATTCGACTGTCGATGTATTAAAATAATTATTAAATATATCGTCACCAGTAAAGCATTGTAGTCATGGTCTACTCCTCTACTCTTATGAATTACTCAGTTTATTCGTGCTGTGTTTATGGAAAATGCAACAGAAGAATCTTAGCTTATTTTGTTAGAGGAATAGAAGAAAATGTAGAACAGAGCACACAATGCCTATATCGGTAAATTTTCTACTGTCAATAATAATGATACCTATATTATTGATTAATTAAGATAATGTAGGAAATGTAGGACATAAACTTAAACATAATTATGGATTTTATAACAGGATTTTATACGTAATAAATTATATTTTATATATAGGAAATATGTGATGTGTCAAAAATTTGTTTTCGTGAATGATCGCATTTATATATTGATTATATTCTCTCATTTTTCACTCGATTCGATTGCTCTTAAGAATTTAAATCGGAAAAATTAATTTTAAATTTATGGAATTATAAACAGTATTAGAAAAATATAATTATGTAAGAGATGATTTATAAACTAGAATTTTCTCAAAATGCGTTTTAAAGAATCTCTCGAATTTCCTAGTCCGATTATACTACTTTAATTCATAGCGAAGATATAAAGGACGCACGCTTGATCTATATTGCTTTCTCAATTTTCCCATAAATGCTTATTGTTAGTACCAAATCTTTCTACATAATTCAGTTTAATGTTATTCTACCTTTTGGGTTGATATGCCTTTTAGGAATTGCATCACTGATATCTCGTTAATTGATATCCAGGAAAACGGATGTTCACGTAGGCACAAGGTTGCGATATCACACATCCGTTGATTAGGTACCAAGGTATACGCATGCGGTTTTATATAAGAAACTTATCGAAGAATACTTTAAGGAATAATTTTTTGACGAGTTTAAGTTGTTTTAAAGTTAAGTTTGAAGTTTCTCTTAACCAAAATATTGAAGCGCATACATCATTTAGAATTTTTACGTTGTATATTACAATATATGTAAATGTTACATAATGTATTTTTTCTTAGGCATCTAAAAAAAATACATCTATATCTAAATATTCATTTACATATTGTATATAAATGCTAAATTGTTTTGTTTTATAAAACGAAAGTCGGAAGTGAAAAAATATACATATTTAATCAGATTCAGAAATTAATAAATAATTAATAATATTTCTTATATTTTGTGTCGCCAATTTCTCTATTATGATTTTTTATCAAGACAAAAAAATGCTACAAAAAAGCAAATAAATGCAGGAGTCACAAGGTTTTCGCAGATTATACATTAGACTTTTTTATCGGTAAAACTGCATAATAACGGACCCAGCCCCAATGACCTTGACCTTGACATATGTTGTCAAGGTCACTGTCCTGAGCATCCTCCAAAATGTTTTAAGCGTCGTTCGTTGTTTATTAATAAGTTATTAACAAAAAAGTTTACTAAATAAAACGTAATTAGGTAAATGTTTACCTTTACACACCCTATCCCATATGACTTCCGGTTGACCTTGATATTGACCTTGACCTCTAAGAAGGTCAAGGTCATTGACCTTTTCCGTCACTACGTTAGTAAAAAGTTCTGACTACTTAAACAAGATTTATAATTATATGATTTCACATGAATTTGCAACTTTCTGCACGAAGCAAGGTCTAGTTTTAAATCAGAAATAGGTTTGGGTTAGGTTATATCTTCCGGAAGTGGAGCCCCCCCCCCCGTAGGGGGGCGGAACACACTGTGTTCACGCATACACTTTCCCATCCACACAATAATCGTGGGGTGAACCTCGCTTCGCGTTGTATAGTATATGCGTGGATACAGTGGGTTCCGCCCCCCCCCCCTCCTACGGGGGGGGCTCCACTTCCGAAAGATATAACCTAACCCAAACCTATTCCTGATTTAAAACTAAAATTTGGTTTGGGTTAAGCTATATCTTTTGAAAGTGGAACCCCCCGAAGGGAGGGGGGAGGGGCGAAACCCACTGCGTCCACGCATATATTTTACAACGCGAAGCGAGATCTACCCTACAATTCTTGTGTGGGTGGAAAAGTGTATGGATGGATGCAGTGGGTTCCGCCCCCCCCCCCCTCTGAGGGAAAAGCGGGAAATCGTTCATACATATATTTTTTCCACATATAATATATATTAGTCATTTATGTCTTTCAATACTCAAAATAACTGCTATATTTTTCAAACTTTTTTTGTTAATAACTTTTTAATAAAAAACGAGCGACGGCTAAAACCTTTGGGAGGTTACTCAGGGTCATGACCTTGACAACATATGCAAAGGTCAAGGTCATTGGAGCTGGGTCCGTTATTATGCACTTTTACCGTACGTTATGAAGTTTACAAGAAAAACAGAATTAAAATTTCAGACAAAACACTTTTGTCATAAAATTTTTGAATATTTCGTTGTGATGTAATTTTTGTAATTTTATGTGTATAATGTTTACGGGTTTATTACGGAAGAGAAAAGTGGATTTACGAAAAAATCGGGTCAGTTTGTAATCTTGAAAATAGAGTCTCGCGAGTTCTTACAAAGGCGTGGTTTTTACCAGTAATTATTTTAATGTGCTTCTCATTAATTAAAACATGTCATCCGTTCGCACCAGGAGTATCACGTGCTTTGAATAACTCCCTAATAGTCACGTTTAACTTTGTAATATTATTTGCAATGTCGTTTTATGTTTACAAACTCACGATACAATTTAATTTATCCTAAAGCAAAATTATATTACTGATGTTTTTATCATGACACGGCATATATAAAATTTATATAAGTGGTTTCTATGATATTGTAAAAAAATATGATTTGATCTTGTTGATTATTGCGCTTGATATCGCAGAATTGGAAGATATTGTTTTAGCTTTTTCGACTGTTTCGGAATCGAGTTTTTCTTAATAAGAATATCGAGACATCTATAATACCTGAATAAAAAATTAAGAATCGAAAATAATCGAATAAGCAAAACTTTAAAAATGACTCTGGCAAGCTAAACTTTAGAAATAATATCTCCAAGAGAATCCACTCTGTTGAAATTAATATATTATGTAAAATTGAATAATTTTAGAAAGTATTGTATCATACACATCACTTTCTAAAATTCTTAATTTCAAAAAACAGAAAGATACATCTATCAATATCAATATGATTAAAACATTATTTTACATTATGGTATGTTACCATACCATTCTATGATTGCTTTTTTTGAAATGAAAGTGTTTTTATTCATAAAGCATAATTTAATTACTTCAAAAAACTTCTCCGCAATATAAAATTTCTCGATTGATTTTGATAGTTTATATTTACTCTAATGTACCAAAAAATTGTCTAATCATTATCTAAAATGAAGTTCTTCATCAGTTTCTTCCTCAACAGTTTGCTCTTCTCATGAATTCCACCGTTTGCCACTTCAAATACAATCTCAATTTCCCGAAGCCACCGGGTTCCCTTCTCTTGACCGGCCCTGTCACGGGTCGATAAAGCCTCTCACTCTCTCCCGCTTCCACATCGCGCACCCTCTCCGTGCCACGGCCTCCTTCCTGACACTCCGAATGAGAAAGAGGGAGACGGGGACGGCCGAGCAGGATGGAAGATCTCGGAGTTCTGTCAGTGGCCTCTCGGACACGGAAGCGTGAAAAGTGGAGAACGTCTGCGAGAACGTTTCTCCTCGTCCTGACATCCCGAGGCACCGCCGCGTGCGGGAAGATCCGCACGGTAAATTGATCATCGTGAACGCGGATTGCGAACGTTGATGTGCGCGGAAAAATCGACGATGGCAAAAACGCATCCGATCCCAGCCACGCCGACGTCCCGCGACGTCGTACATACGCGTTTACATAGCGACATTACCAAACGTCAAATCGAATATTCGATCGGTTATCTTTATTAAAATGCGCTCCTTCTTGAACGAGGAAGACACAGTTTCCGTTTCATCTGCTTATGGGATGTTTCACTCCTTCCAGCTTCCTCGAGAAACATCCACGGAGATGATCGGCGTGTGATGAGATACATGACATGACAGATCACGAAGTATTATCTTTATCAAATTCAACGAGAGCATGACGAGCAATTTCCTCTGTGTTTGTCAATGTTAATCAATTTTCTGTATCCTTGTATAGTTCTTTATGTGTTCTCCAACATCCACCAAGTACCCTCGACGATAGTCAATATCAGACCGCTGAACGCATGAAAAAAATATCTTTAAGGCAGTTGTGGAACACCGTTGGCGCGATTCTCTTTACAAGCTTGTCTACAGCTGTTTTACACACAAAAGTGTTCTAAGTTTCCCGCATTTTCTATCATCTTGAGAAATTCTTTGATCAATCTGGAGCCGATTTTTCTTTTTAACTACTGACTCGAGATGTTGATGATATTTCATGTGGAATTTCCATATAACAAAAAATCGGAATATTCCTAGTTTTAGAAATTCTTATACAAGCAATCGAAGAAGAGATATTTTTTTTTAATTAAAAGGTACGAATAGATAATAAAGAATGGATGATACATTTCTTTATTAGTTTTAGATAAAGATTTTATTATCTTATTCTTTATTCCTTTCTATCCGCAGACTAAATGCATTATTTTCAAAGAAAAGATTGATCGATTTGCAAACACTTGCATTTCTTTCAACGCAAATAAGATTGCTATTTATCTGATGCTCTTTAAAAAATTTTCCTATGGATTGATCTATGAATTCATGGATGAAAGCATTAGAGAAACCCGCTGAATATTTGAGTTTTCCTTGATAAGTTTTTTTATTTGGTCAATGATTCATATTTATATATTTTTCGATTTTTATTATAATATATGTTTATAAATTCTTTGGCTTATTACTAAAGCTTTTGCCTTAAGAAAAAGTGATAATACGCTGCAAGAGTCACGATGATAGTAGTAAACTGTCGCAAAATATAAGCCCGCAGAATATAGAACCGTAAAATATTGTGCTCGAACACATTATTAAAGATGTAGGTGTTTTATTTTCATGATATTGACTGCAATTTTCTTTGACTAGTTAAACAAAGCTTTAACTTAAACGGTCGCGTTTTAAATTGGCATATAAGGATAACTGCAAGGATAATTGGAAAAACCAAATTAAATATATGTTAAAACATCTCTTTTCTTTTATCTTAAAATTTGGATTTTGTCTCATTTAAAATTTTCACAAAATTTAGTTAGATGATATAAAATAAAATTTTTATAAAATTTGATTTTTTACATAAAATTATTATTAATTATATATTTTTCAATATCGATGTTATGAAAATACGTACTAGTACTTAAAGGCTAAAATAGAGAAAAGCGTAGTACAGTTAGATATGACGTATACGCAATCCATCTTTTTTCTTAATTTTGAAGACTGATTCATCTTTTATGATCTGTTATTACATCTTCAATATGTAGTAATTGTTAGAAAAATTTAACATTAAAAGATGATAGATATGAGTATTTTTAGACACTTAAGAAAGTTTTTCAATCAAGACGCGCTATCGATCTCCTTGGCCATCCAAAGATTCGTTTACGCGTTTCAACTTGCACTCGTTGACTTCACGGAAAAGTTTTATTAAATCCCTTGTCACACACTGAACAAAGCAAGATCGCTTTCACAAAAGCTAAATCTGACGAGGAGATTGTGCGCTGAGAGTTTTGGCATGTTGAAACTGATAGTTCCGAAACGAGAATGCACTTTATCGCCTGCATATGAAAGCCACCGCGCAAATATTGCGAGTAATTATGCTATCACTAAAATACTTCGTTCCAGCACTTACACAAGAAAGGATGATTTGAGAAATCAAGATTAAAAGAAACTTGTGTAGAGAGTGCGATCAAGATCGTGATACAACCGAGAAAGAGGTGATTCCTTGTGCGAAAATATGTCGAAATGGTAGAATAAATCTTCTTTTGAGACTTTGTTTTAAAAAAGATCGCTTTTTTCATTATTGGAAAATTAATATCTTTTATTTTCTCTCACAAGAAAATCTTTAACGATTTTTTGGGGCATATAATATGGAAATACATTCGATGATTTTATAACATTTTGTATATAGAATAACCCAATTATTCTCTAAAATAATACAGACTATTTAAAATTATAATATATTCTTTGTCGAAACACACCCCGCATGTATTCTTGTTATCCAGCTTGGCTAAAATTACGCGACCGTCAGATAACACGAATGCAATTTATGCAAGCGGGTAAGACATGTTTTCAAACTCTTGAAATATGCATTAATATATAAGTTACTTTTTCTATTTTTACTTTAGCGCTATCGATGAAGACTTTTTAGTCAAAATTTCGTAAAGATTGATTCGTCGATAAATAGATAATAGATAAAATTATGCAATAACTGTATCTAAGTCTTGAGTTATCTATCAATCATTGTACATCATCATTCACATATAAAGAAACTAAAAGCACTATTTAGTATCGAAAAAAGTTTATATGATAAAATTTTGTTTATTCATACAATTCAACGATATGAAAAAGTAAGATTTATATAAGAATTTTAGAACAAAAAATTTATCTTTTAATAAAACTTTGATACTTGCATTTATAGCAAACTATTTTGTATTTTACGCAATATCAAAAATTCCTAGTTGCTTTTACCTTACACTACAAAATTAAGGGATTCTATGTAACATATCGGAATAATAATGTACCGGATAATAACATATCATATATAACGTAACATGCAATTGCGCGTGGAAAAGCGTAGTTAGTAGTGCGTGTTAACGATCGATGCGATTAGATTAGTACGACAGTGTGGCGTGTTCTCTATCGATGGTGCCGTTGCCGTATATATCGATCTATGCGTTTCAACCCTCTAACGCACTTTACGATTTCAGTCCGTTACCTCTGGGAAATCTCTGAAATTCCTCGCGTGATGAAAAGTAATAAAAGAAAATATATTTTATTTATAAAGGATATCTTATATTTAGAATATCTTTCAAAATTACAGAGCATATCAGTAACTTAAAGATTTGTTCATTAATTAGTTTGAATTAAATAGAGATGAATAGAAATACTGTTTTTTTCTTTAACGGAAATATTGAAAAATTATAATAGTTCTTAAATTAAATTATTAAGCAATTAAACAAAATTTTTGCAAATTAAATTTTAAGAGAATATATACATAACAGTCATTTTTTTGCAATTAATTTTAAGTTGATTTTATTTTAATAGAATTTTAATCTGTGGCTTAATTATGCAAAGATATAATATTAAAAATTGGAGAACTGCGCGATAAATAAAGATTTATTTTGATATTTTTGTAAGTAAAAATTGTAAGTTAGAAAATGTATTGTTAAAATTCGAATTGCAAATTGTAGAGCACTGTCTATATATTATGTTATTTATTACACATCTGATTTTTTATTCACTAAATTTTCACGTGGAGTATATATATATATATATATATATATATATATATATATATATGTCATATATAATCTTCCGTATTTCTATCCCGTGTATTACCGTCCACCCAGCCAATAGGTTTCCTCAAAGTTCATCTCAAACGCGCTAATTGGATTCTATGACCACCCGACAAATATATCATCAAATATCACGAAAATCCTGGCTCGACTAATTGTCGTATACTCCGTATTTAATTGTAATCGCACAATATCATTGCAAGCTAAAGATAAACAAATAGCGGTTTCATTACAAATCTGAATTTAGCAAATAATAACATATTTGTTTAACAAATTAAACGATATTTGTTTGTAAAAAGCAATTTCTATAATCGGAGCAAACTACTTGGAGAGATTATTTCATAAAATGAAAGAAAAACAAAAAAATATTTAAGTGTTTTTCGTATAATTATTATTTTCAACCAATACCTTTGTGTTAAATAAAATATGCTTTTTATACAAAATGTTCTACAACTTATAATTTTAATTTTAATGCCGGATTTAAAATTTGTAATCACTATTCATTCATTATGATATTTAGCAGAAAATCAGTGAAAAGACCATTCAAACTTAAAGAAAAACGCAAAGATATATATTATTAATCTTTTGATTTTCAAAATTCTTTGCAAAAATGAAATCTCGCGTGAGAAAACTTTAATTTTCATTTTACATTTATTTTTACATGTAGATAGAATCATCTCCTCAGTTATACGGGATCAGTTACGAGACATTCTGTATTTTATCTAAAGCTATTTATCCGTCGTTCCAAATAATTTTTTCAATTTAGGTTGCATTCTCCCAACATTCATTCTTATTTGTTCGAATATGTACACATATATCTTCCTTATATACAACAACCTAACAGCTATTAACGGAAAATCTTTAACACATGTGCCTTAAAAGATGGACAATAGAAAAGGAAAGTTTTTTGGATCTCTAACTTTAGCTTTGTACTAAAACGAACGCTGTAAAATTAATTTACAACAATCTACAAGAAAAAAGAAAACACTGTGCTTATGATGCTGCAGAAATCATCGAGCATCACGTGGACACTGCGAAGTGGGAATATGTGCGAGTTGGTCAATGTTGTTGAGATTCATTAATTTATCGACGGAATCATGCTATCGGAATGCGGCGGATTAGTGCACTTCAAGAAGAGACTAAAGCCTTGCAAGCAACGGTCTCGAGAACTAATTCGCGTTTTCGGAGGATAAGATGAGCAAAAGTGTGGAGTTACTCGCTGGATCGGAGGACAGTGAGCCAACACCTGCAGGTAAGTAATGTTACAATATGTATTTTACGTTAAATATGAATTTTTTCGTTTTTATATACATATGATCGAAAATTATTTCTTTACAAATTTTTGTTTTTAATAACTCTGTTTTTATAAAAAATAAACTCGACACAGATTCCATTTATAAGAACTTAACGAAATATGATTTCTTTGTTATGGATTAATATAATAATTAATTAGTGAGAAATAATATATGCTTTTATTCCGTGAAAATTTTTTTCCAGATAAAAGTTGCTTTTGATGCAATTAATTCTACATATAATATTCAAGTTTTAAAAAAGTTAAATAGTAGGACTCATAGACTGTTTAAGTTAAATAAGATAATGATAAAAAGGATCATGATAAACATCTTATTAACTTATCTAACTTTATCTTTTCTTTTCTAGATAGTTTACATAGTTTATTTTTTGATCTAAAATTTTTTGTGGACTCCAAGTGGGATTATAAATCTTTGTACCGTAAAACTATAGTCAGCGATTTTTCTAACGTTAAATAAAATGTATATCGTATTTCTTATTTGTCTGTACATATCAATATCTCATGCAATATCCCAGTTAGATGATTGGAATACCCAGATTGATTTCCGCGATGCATTAACGTGTTAAGATCATTTCCGGAGAAAGGGAGATAAAATCCAATAAACGTTGAATGCATTTGCTCTCCGCACGTCCGGACATCATTCCCACATCCGGAATGTATGCGTTCATTCTGCATTGTGCATTATACTGCACGATATTTTTGGTAACGAAAAATCGATTTTCGTCTGAGAATGTTTCATTGAAAGTTAGATCACGGATAGTTGAATTAGACTCGTTATATCAAATTTGTATCAAGATATTATAATTCTGTTTTTATTGTTAAATAAAATGTATTTACTCATTGTGATACAATAATTTATTTTCGTTGTAAGATAATTGAAGCAAATTAATTTAAAGGTTCTAATTTTAAAAACTGTTTAATTATTTTTAATATGAGAAATATGTATCTCAATAAATAAATATTGAACCGATTGTTATAAGAGTCGGAAACTTATATTAATTGCTCGACATGTGTCATCATTTCTGGAGTATAATGGAAAGCATGCTAAGCCTTTCAAAGTCAGATGCGTATTACACTATGTTTAATAATACAGACGGATCAATATGCTTACATGATATGCGAGTACATATAATGTATTTCCCTTGTCATTCTTTTAGAGACGTACGTGTATTGTTTTATATCCATTCACAATCCAAGTTCACCCTATTTTTCCACCCTGTTACATCGATTTTCAATTCAGGTACTAGGGTAAAAAATATTTGGGTGTGGGTCGAAATAGATCTATTTTTGTTGTTTCTTTTCCCATTATTTTTGGTATGTTGCATAGATATTAGATGGAAGGATCGTGTTATCAATAATTGATAGCATTATTGGCTAGCATGAATTTTTTCATTACGTTATAAATAAATTATATAATATATGTATAAGAATTAAAAATATTTTATAAAAACAATTATATAAAAACTAGAGTTTTAATTTTCCCAAAATAAATTGTTAGTGTATAGCTAAATGCAAAATAAAAACTAATATTAAAATATAAATTTAAGATTATTTATCTATAGTATAGGAATGTTATTGAAATATTATAATTATTTTGGTCAATAAGGGACTCAAACGACCAAATACCATAATAATTTTAAAATTATCTAATAAAAATGTCATCTTTCTCTCTCTCTCTCTCTTTCTTGTATATACTTGATTATACGTTAAAATATCTAACTAGTAAAATAATCTAAATAAAGATGCGCGCGCAGGAAAGTTATAGCAATAAGTTTCGTCAAGTAAAAACTGTATAAAATATTCAATCCAATCGCGTACTAATATCTGCGACTAATATAATTTCATATTACGCTCGATATCTGTCTTCTCGATAAAAAATTTTACAACTTCCGTTGCTAGAAATGCTATTTAAAAATTTTTCCAACTCTGTTGGCATTTCGCAACATTTTATCGACTATAAAACTGTCATTTATTTTATTTATGATCTCGTAGTATTTAGTCACATCTTGCTTTTCGGAATTCCGGTTTGTTTGTATTTCTTTTTAAAGATATGTGAACTATCAAAAAATCTGAGTTTAATATTTAATTTAAAAGAATAACGAAGAAAATTTTCTAATATAGAAAATAGAGGTCATCTTTATTCTCTAAAAATTTAGAACGGTTTGGGAATAAGCTTTTTAATTAAACACAGACATTTAAATGACTGCGGAGAATCAAACAAATTCAAATGAACTCATTATTTAGGAGTTCATTATACAACTACACTTATACGTTTCATTTAAGCTTATTAAAAAGAAGCGTGTTCAAGTGAGTTACCCACGTGCGTTAAAATTATTAAATTACTACACAAACATCAAAATACACATATATAAAGTTACTTTACTGTCTTTCTGAAATTAATTATGTGTTTTTAATTTTACTTATCTGATGTTGAATAATCAACCGCTAGATTGAAATGTTGCTAAAAAGGTAGATTACATAATGGACATCATAATAGAACATAAGAAATGCAATATTAACCATGGATATGATTTTCTACTGTGCAAATTTTCTTGTTGTAAAAGCATTTTTAGAGACAGATATTGTTGAATTTTTAATTTAATAACCAAAAGGGAAAAAATGCAAAAAATTCGACTTTATCGTTTATTTTTCTTAGAAATTGATTTCTTTCTTTCTTTACAATGTATTTTTATCTTTTAACAGAATTGGTCATAGCTGGCCGAAAAAATCTATCTGCAGCCATCAATAACAGCATATCAGTTTAGCGTTAATGCTGCGTTAATATTGTCTTTTCGGTATGAATTTTTCATATAATATCCATAACGGCATCAATTATTCATGTAATATTCATATCGCATGCGTGTAATATTAATATATTGTCAATATCACTATTCATCCAGCTTGTTAAGAACGCGAACATGAACTGTTTTTTATTTATCGAAAAATTCGTTGTAAAAGAGTAGTTTTAATATTAAAGCAAGAAGAGAAAAAGATTTAGAAATTAAAAAAATCAGAGACACATCTCATACTCTAGTAAAATGAGAAATTTTATTTTACATCTTTATGTCTACGATAGCATGAAGTATTCTGTACCAATAAATTTTTCCATCTGCTTCGTAAACGCGAGTAACTGATCAAGACTCTTGTTTCGACTTGCAGGTAACACTTGCACCCAAGAGAGATCCAGACTGAACCTGAACGGAAGCCGTCAATTCTCGAAAAGCGCCACGGAGCTCCGGGACAACGAAATCGCGAATAGCTCGCCTTCGAGGCGGGATGATGGATCGAGTGGATCCGGCACCATCCACCATCATCGGCATCATCGGCACCACGGTCCGGCATCGGTGGCACAGCGCACCCACACTTTCTTCGCGACTCTGAAAAGTCGTTGGGCGCGCAGCAGGAGCAAGGAGCGGAAAAAATCAAAGGATGCCAGTAGCGTGCAGTCGCAGGATACGAGCCAGCTCAAGAATCCTGGCGTCGAGTCCGATTATGCCGCCGATTACTCTTCCGAGCACAGCAGAAGTTCCTCGGCCACTCAAAGCCCGGCCAGGCATTGCCTCAATCGTCCAGGTGAGCGATATTCTTTTGACTGATTAACTAACTTGTGCGAAATTTGTCTCTTTTTCTTTCTCTCCCTCTGTGATTCTATTTTAAATATAACTAATAAAAAATATAATTTAAAGTGAAAAGCAATAAAATGTTAAAGAACAATATGATGCTTTTGTATGCGCATTGATGACCCAGTTGCAAAGTTTCATCTATATCCAATATTTACATATTGCTATATCTATTAGTATATAGTCCGACTGTCAAATACAACGCAAGCTTTGAACTGATATATAATCTCATACCATCCAGTTTAATTAAAAAATAAAAGAAATTGACAAATATGTTAAACAATTATTTTTATTAATAAAACAGTTTCGTAAATATTTAGAGAAAGATCTGCAATTAAAATGAGTTATTAAATAAAAGCATAATCTAGAATTAAGAAATATACCAGTGTTTAAAAAAATTTAAAATATATGTATATATAAACAGTTGTATTATTACGAGTTGCAATATAAAATTTTTAAAATTTACGAGATATTTGATCTGTATACATAGCGGAAAAGTTCACGGTCGTCATGACATAATAATTGTGTACGGACAGTGTTATGACACGCTCGCTATGCATCGAATACACAATGAATTGAATCACTGTTATGCAATGAAGCTCTAAGTGGCGTCTTTGCTTCCCGCTTCATCGCTTATAGTAGCGCTTTTCAAAGTGTTTTATAAAATATCAGTGCGTTAAAAATTCATGCCAAATGCTTTATTCAATGTCGCGAGAGAAATTAAATCTTTTTTTTATAAATAATTACATTTGAAGAAAAATTAAGAGAGAGAGTATTTACCTTGTTTTTATGTTAGTCATTACTAATTCATTCCAATTTTTCAAGCATTCTCAATACTTTACAAAATTCTTTCTCTGAACCATATCTCTGAATTTTTAGAAGAAATGTGTGTGTGTGTATGTAATTCATAAAAAACTAGTCGTTCATTTATATTAGTATCTGCAAATTTTGAATCTATGTTGCGTTCAAGTATGTTTTTATGCAAGAATGCTATTTGTCATTTTTTCATTCCAAGTTATTTTACACAATGAAAGTCGAAGCGCATGTGTCTATGACGTGCAAATTATTCTATTAAAAAGTTAAAAAACTTGGCCTTTGCAATCTTGTTTGTGTGTATATCTAGGTTAAATGGATGCGATCTAGAGTATCGAAGAACTAATACTTATCAAACTCATTTGAATATAACTGACTGCTCGGAAGTGAGTTTCTAAATTCTTCAGTAAATTAATTTATTGACAAACTACTCGACTTAATAATTAAACCATCTTGCAAAATAGTTATGTCATGAGAATTAATTTTTGAGCAAAACATTAAAATAGGGTAAAAAATATAAATAAATACACATGCTTTGGAAGGCAAACTGTCTATCATTGAAAATATATTTATCATCCTATTATATACATATATTTTGGGCAAATAACAATTGTGTTGCTGACAAATAATAATTAAAGAATTAATTATACAATTAATAATTAAAGCAAAATCGCGAATAGTTCTGTGCTCATAATTGCAAGTGCAAGTAATTATGTTTTGAATAAAGTTTAGCATTAATTATCAAGCTTAGCATTTAATTACTAAGAGTGTGCGAATAAAAATATCGAGCGTGCAGTTTGCATTTAATTCCGAAAGTCGATATGTGCAGCACGTTTAAACCTCATTATATCAATTGATCCAAAATGCTTCAGCACGAATGCCTGCTGGCGTGTCTTGCTATACTTAGATAGATTAATCTGAAGGACTTTTCATGTGCTTACTTTATAATACAAGCGTCAGTACATAGCAGTTTTTTGATATGTATAAAGCTTCATCTACGAGAGAGATCATCGTGTAATTATATTTTCATTTAATTACAGTTTTATATTTGCCACATTTTTATTTTCCCTGAAACTTCTTTCATAACTCGATTTTTTCATCCAACCTTGCAATAATATAAGAAATTGAAAATATATTATAAATTCTAAGAATATTATGATATTCGGCTATATATTCGATGTATCTCATAACAATTTTTGCACAATAATGTTTACGTCAGTGCTTCAAGATTAAAAACGATATAAATAATTAATTGATATAAGTAATTAATTAAATGTAATGTCAATGATCGCGATTCAAAAAATAGTATTATACATTATTTGAATTTTTCTCTGACAATTTTAGATTATTTTGTAAAAATACATCTCAAGGTTAACGGTTATTAACGGGAATTTTCTATTTTCTATAATTAAGTTTGTGGCAACATTATAGATATCGCTATTGTCAAGATCGAAACTGACCGAGTATCAAAACTGATATAGATATATGGCACGTGCATTTTGGTACATTTTATATGCGCAGAATCTCCGTTGGCTCGTGGTGGCCGAGAAAGAGTCATGACCATACAAGAGGACAACTTCGGAAAATGCGGCGAGAGATTTTCGAAAGGATCCGTAAACTTCCAGAGCCAAAAAGAAGGACACACGAGCGAAGGGCCTCGGAGTTCCATCAGCCAGGATGGAGGCGAGTTCCTTCAGGACGAGGTGACGCGAAGGAGAGAACTAGCGTTGAGGCAACATGCCTTCTTCCAGCTTCGCTTGCATATAAGGAGAGGCGCGAATCTCGTTGCGATGGACAGAGGCGGTAAGAGATTTTTAACTATTTTAATATTTTATTGAAGAAAAGATTTACAAATTATATATAGGATATAATATACATATATTTGTATATGTATGTATATTTATAAAAGAATGCGCAAACAATTTTCACAATTATTTTATGAAGTAAATAAATTATAAAAAATGTTATCTTAAAGGCTGTAATATCATTTAAAATTATTTGAAAGTATCATCGTTTTTACATCAATACATAAAATATAGTTTGAGATATTCAAGATCATTTGTGAGAACATAAAGTGTCTTTTATATCCATCGATATAAAACTGTTAATTTCCTGTTTTAGGGGCCAGCGATCCTTATGTAAAAGTAAAATGTTCAGGACGACTATTACACAAGTCGCGAACCGTTCATCGCGATTTAAATCCGGTTTGGGATGAAAGCGTGACCTTGCCCATAGAAGATCCTTTTCAACCACTTACTATTAAGGTATATTCAGTGACTTTCTTATTATATAAATCGTAATTTCGAATTGGATAAAATATTACAAAAAACTAAATATAATTGTATCTCTTTAAGATAATCCAAATTTTTTTTTATACATATGAAGTTTCCAAAAAGAACGAAATCTTTTGTCTCTAATTTAAATTAAAATAATTTAATTTGTTTAATAAATATTATGACATCTAAAACATAATTTGTATTTCGGATATAAAATATTATTGAAGAATTATCTCATAAAAATATTCTGACGAGAAATCATCAAAGAATTTTTTTATATATTATAACAGGTTTTCGATTACGATTGGGGTCTGCAGGATGACTTTATGGGAGCTGCTCAATTGGATCTTACGCAACTCGACCTTGGACATTCTCAGGATATAATATTAGAACTTAAAGATCCGGGCAGACCGAAGCAACATTTAGGTGAAATCTATCTGACAGCTACATTATGGCCAAGAAATCAACAAGAAAAAGAACAGGTATTTCTTCTTCAATTCGGAAAAGTTTTAATTTATTCAAAACTTTTTAATATTTTAATTCATTTATAATTTCACGAGAAAAATGATTAGCTAAACATACGTAATATCAGTGAATAATCGAGAATAGCATGTATCGGAGATGTATCAACCACGGTTCTATGAAGGATATAAGAAGAGATAATAAAGTAACAATAAACGATCGCGACGTCATGATTCTCGGTCGCGGTAAAGAGATAGATGTGCCGTGCGTATATTTATAGCGTATACATGAAGAATATGGAAACTAGGTTGTGAGGGAAGTATCCGCCCGTATTACGATATCGACTTGGCGGCTTGTCGTTGAAAGTGGAGTGCAAGGCCTGGCCCTTATCACGGAAGTTCCACTTACATGTTAACTATTATTAAATGCCATGTCGCGATAAATAATTAAATGAAAACTTGAGTATTACATTACGCAAGTCGAGCATTAAATCTGCTTTATTTAGGAATTCATAATTAATTTGTGCAAGAGTTCTCTACAGGCATAATAACGCAATATTTATTTCAGTCGCGTTGCACTTTGCTCATTTAAATTTTGCGCTGCGTAAGTTAATATTTATATCTGGATCTACCGTTTAATTTTTGTGTTACTTAGAATGTTAATATTTTAAAATATTTTCGATTTTTTTATTAAATTTAACTGCGCTTTATTATTGTCTTAAAAATTTAATTTAATATATTATTATCGAAATATTTAATATTCAATAAAAAGTTGAAGGATTAACAAATTATAATAAATATAAAAACCGCTTTTGAAATTTGTCCAATATATGATAATATACGTTAATTAATGTTTCTGATTAATCTTCTTGTTACTCATAACAATATAAAATTATTTATTTACGATAAATCATGGTATTGTATTTATTCTTGAGAATCTTATAAGTCGATTTTCGAAAACACAAGAAAGATACAAATAATATTATCTATACAATTAGATGTATTACTTTGCTTTTCTAAATTGAGCAAATTTAATATTGCTCTGTGTGATGTTTCTCTTCCTCTCTCTCTGTAAACGGGGAAACACCCACGCTAGAATATTGAAAGTGAATTAGGCACAAATTTCACATTGTGTTATGTGGTATATCTCTGTCTCTATCTCTGTGAATTGAGAAACATTCGGCAGAATATCGTGCTGTACGGTTATAACATCGTGTATATACTGTGTCTCAATGTTTACCGACGTAACAGCAGTTTCCCAATACGAATGGAGAGGGAAAGGAAGGCCAATTGGTCAACATATTACGCCAGTTGTCGACGAAGCATGCTTAATAGTCGGACGAGTTTAGCCATTCGACTTGCGGGCGATAAGTGCATCGTCGCTTATCAATGCGGATACGATGGGACGATATTGGCGCGTGAGTGAATTTCATTATACAACAGATTTACCGTTGTTCATGATAAGAGACTTCCGATCGTTGCTCACGTGATTCACTTGGCTGCCCGTCTACATTTCTTATTGTGACTCAGCGATGCTAATCAGCAATATCGAATATCGTTATCATTATAAGTAGAAAGTCTAATATTTGCACTTTATGCGTTTCGTAAACGGATAAAGGTGAGTCAGCGCGTACAAGTGTTTCCTCGCGAACAGTTTCTTTCACGCTCTTGTGTGTACCAGCGTCAGTTGACATCAGTGTGTTAAGTGAGCTTCAGTGTATCAAACAGCTCTTCTGTTTTTTTTATATCGCGCGAATACTTGTTGCAGGAGATGTACAAAATGATATGACGCGTATAAAGTGTGTGATTAATATTCCAGATTCTAATGCTTAAAAAAAAATCATTAATTTAGAGGAAGACTGTAGGATTTCTCAAGGTCACGCGTGCCGGATCATCGCGTTGAAATACGCTGTTTATTTCCACTGCATTATGCAATTCATCAAATGACTTTTTCATGCGAAAACTATTTGAATGCACTCATTAAGAACCGTGACAAGTTAAATGACGGTGCTCTGACGGATGAAAAAAGCAGAGGCGATATCCAACATCTGGTTCCGTCATGACGTGAGTCCATTAGCAATGAAGGATGCAAGTCAATCGGACGAAACATGATAGCAGTGACCTTGGATTAAGGAGCTTTTATGAAGAGCATCGACGAAAATAACACGTTGCATACTGTTTTTCTCTTGACGCGGAATAGAGAACTCGTTTATAATTCGTTCGGTGTACTTGCAGAAGATTAGAAAAATTTCAAAACTGAACATTACTCTTAAGAACAGTTTCTACGCAAAAGGAATGCTGTATTGTTGAATTTGGACAGTATATTCAATCTAAAGTCAATGCACACACAAACTCGATACCACGTCGAAAAGAATAGTGATAAATAGTGATAAATCGCGCAAAGTTAATATCACGCAGGAGACCAAATCCAATCGAAGTTGCAATCGTCGCATCCAAGATGAATGTTACATCGGAAGATTTTTCATCTAAAGCGAATGTCGCGAGCGAACTTAATATCATCCCCGAGATCAATGTTACGCCGGAAATTGATGTCACATCCAAGATTACATGCGAAACAGATGCCGTGTCGGGAAAAAACCTCGATGATGACGTGTCTAAAGCGAACAATGTATCTGAGATTCATGTAATACCTAATACGGATATCGTTTCTAATAAAATAGAGAAGACGTTTATCGATAAATCATCCAATATTGCAGCGCCTCCCAGAAGATTGCGTCGGAAATTTTCCACGGACCAACAAGGATGTCATTCTCTTGCGGTATTAGATCCAACCGTATCAAAACAAAAATTCGAAACTGACGATACGGATGACACTAATACAGAGAGCGAAGCTGAAATTAGAAATTACGTCTTGGCGTTGGATGACAATTTTTTAGAAAATAATCCACACGAAGAAAATTCGAGAGAATCGAGCTCTCTCGCTGACGAGAAATTGAAAATCCAACAAACCCCTGCGATTGAAGGATTGTTTGCCAAGACAATTTCCGAAACTAAGGAGACGGGATCGAATACTACTGAAAGCGAGAAATCGAAGTTAGAGCGAGCGTCTGCGATGATAGAAGCCTGGAAGGCGCGAGTGGCTGAAGCATCGATCGAAAGGCGATCCGAGATCAAGAAAAGGAAGACAAAGCTAAAAAGTTCTGTGGAGCGAAAAATGGAATCGATAGAGAAAATACTAGAGGATCACGTGGAGCGAATCTGGGAAGAGAACGTGGAGAAACATTCGTGGCTGCAACCGATTGACACATGGATCGTCGATCGTTGCAAGCCTTCCTCCAGCTACACAGTGACGCATTGTCAACGAGATGTCAATGAAGACGTTGTGCCAGAACCCACGTATGATTTCAAGTTTACGTCGGCGGCGACAGCGGATGAGGAGCCGAAAATCGAGAGCGGACCGATGGATAATCGACGGCCGACGACAATCGACGAATCAAAAATCGAGAGAAGGGTGATTGAGCATTTGCGGAAACTGCGAAATCGAGCCGGTTCTCCGAAATCAAATCGATTCGAGCCCGCGAATCTAACCGCGCAGCTGAAGAAGCAAGAAACTATTCCCACGCACGAAGAAAATGAAGAGGAAAATCCTGATGTGTTAATCGATCCCGATGTTTTGGAAGTAAAGGAGGTCAAACGCCACGATCTTCTGGATAAGCTAAAGGATAACGTTAAAGAGAAAATGGAAGACATTCATAGGGTATAGAAAACGAACGTCTTTTTTTTATCGGTAAAATTTATAACGAATTATAACGGAAGTTATCTCTAATATATCTCGTCAAAACGGGTTGCTGTAGAAATAATGTTTTCATCTTAAAATTTAAAACTCTTATGCTTCAATTGCATAATATTTTACTGATATATCTTGGCTTTCTTACGTATATAAAAGTGTGTATTTAGAGCTATTCTCCTCGATTGTTTAATTTAAATAACTTTTTTTTTTAAATTAATAAATGACTTCTTGCTGTTCAAAAAATTAACGGATAATTAAATTTTTTATATTAAAAAAAAAATCTAAATAAATTCTCTTTTTAAATAAAGTTTTCTTAATAACACAGTTTTCTTAATTCACAATATGTGAATTATATAATAGACATGTGTGTTAAGCATAGGAATATCAGTTAAATTAAAAAGTCAAATAATCGATTTTATAAGGAATTATTTTTCACGCATTGTTTCTCTTATTAAACTTCTCCTTTGTTAAGTCTATGAGAGCTTTTTTTTTTAATCATATACGCGCAATCATTGATTATTGTTTCCAATTTCCAATAATTACATACATTATATTAATATTATATTGCAATGTATAAGTCTTACAGTAGTTCTGGCAGTGAGAATTGATTTAACGTTGCAGTATTTCCAGAAGACCAATCGATTAGCGGACGTAAATAGACGTTTAAAATCACAAATATGGAGTTCGGTGGTTACAATTGTGCTCGTGGAAGCAAAGAGTTTATTGCCAATGGACATAGATGGTTTAGCGGATCCTTATGTGAAGTTTCGGTACGTAAATCTGTTACCACAAAATGGAACTATGTAAATTAAACATTATTATTTATTTTTGTTAGGGAATTAATATAAATCTAATTTAATTTTTTCGGATAATTTGCTTCAAAAAAGATATTCTATAGGATAATTAATTCTTAATTTGTCTATTAGCTTTGCTGTATTTACTGTAGATAAAAATGCAAAAATAAATTCTGCTCTCGATGTTACTGTAAAATTAAATTGACTGAAATTTTGAAAATATATTAGCAATTCAATTCGCGATCGTTCAAACAATGGAAAAGTTCGACTACAAAAACTAGAATTTCATGTCCTAATTTGCAGACTCGGCACGGAGAAGTACAAGTCGAAAGTCGTTAATAAGACGTTGAATCCAGTTTGGTTGGAACAATTCGATCTCCATCTCTACGAGGATCCGTATCTAGGGCAAGAATTAGAGGTGACAGTCTGGGATCGGGACAAGGGTCATCAAGACGATCTGATGGGCAAAACGGTGATCGATTTGGCGGTTCTCGAGCGAGAGACCACGCATCGGTTATGGCGCGAACTCGAGGATGGTTCGGGCAATATTTTTTTACTCTTAACGATAAGCGGCACCACGGCCAGCGAGACAATTAGCGATCTGGCCGTACACGAGGAAACGCCGATAGAGCGCACTCAATTAATCCAGCGCTATTCGATCTTAAATACTTTGCAGAGGGTACGCGACGTAGGTCATCTGACAGTGAAGGTAATTAAAGACAATTAACATTCATTACTAATGTACTGCCATATTTTGGAGTGCTAATTTTCTTAGAACGTTATCTAGAAATGATAATTAATATACAGAGTGTTTCTGAAATAGATTGTTAAGATTGTTTGGTTATATTAATTTCTTGATTGTTATTTAAAATTCTTTTTATTCATGCAATTAAATTTATATTTTAGATTTATTTCTTTTTGAATAACTTTTTAACAAGTTTATGCTTTTATTACTTAAATGTATATATGTATGTATGTGTACATAATATATATACATCCGCCCGTCTGTTAGTGTGCGTCGCCGTAGCGACGGAACGCTCACGCACACTACCAGGCGCGCGGCTAAAGGTCGACGCTGATTGGCCAGACGTTATTCAATAATAACTCCTTTATTAAGCGTTATAAAAAAAAATGTTACAGGACTTTTCTGTTCAGTTTACTGTGCTCTACTTCCTCACGAGCGTTGTCAAGGGTGCTTTGGGACACCCTGTATATATATACACATATATGTATACATAGTCAGAAGTAATTATATATTTCGATTAATAAAAATTATATTTTAAAATTGTGTTGAGTTTTGTTTTTGTTATTTTTTAAAAAATACTTTTGAATATAACGAGCTTTTCTACTTAAATTTAAAATTAAATAAATTGATTTTACAATAAGATTTTTATAAATCAAAATGAAAAAGAAACTTTCTTTGACGAATCTCATATTACGAGTATCTGCTTCTAATTCAATTTTTTTACAGGTATATCGAGCGCAGGGTCTCGCAGCGGCCGATCTCGGAGGCAAGAGCGATCCATTCTGCGTTCTGGAGCTTGTCAATTCCAGATTACAAACGCAGACAGAATATAAGACTCTGGCACCAAATTGGCAGAAAATTTTCACTTTGTAAGTTAATTCAAATTTATATATAATTTGAATACTCTATTAAGCATATAAAAATATTGAATTATCACATTGTCAAATACGAAGTAGAAAAAGTTAGAATATGATTAGGCAGTCCGTTTCGTTCGTATGTAATCGAAAACAAGTTCTGTTGTTGTTTCAACAGTAACGTGAAGGATATCAACTCCGTTCTGGAAGTGACAGTGTACGATGAAGATCGGGATCACAAAGTGGAGTTTCTTGGAAAAGTGGCGATACCATTACTAAAAATTCGTAACGGAGAGAAACGGTGGTACGCGTTGAAGGATAAGAAATTAAGGGGTCGCGCGAAGGGTAACTGCCCTCAGATTCTTTTGGAATTGATCATCGTGTGGAATATATTAAGAGCATGCATCAGAACGCTTAACCCGAAGGAAAAAAAGTACATGGAGCCAGAAATGAAATTCAAGAGACAAGTCTTTCTGCGGAACGTCCTCAGGCTCAAGGCTATTATCGTCGTATTTATTGACATAGGGAAATACATACAGTGAGTGGCCTCAACTTTTCATACGATATAATTTTTTTTTTATTTAGATGATAATGAAATATAAATTTTTCTATATTTGAGAAAATATAATCCTAAAAATTTCATATTATACTTTTTAGCAAAAGAGTTTTGGACGATTGAAATAGATTTTCTAATTTTTTAAATTGTTGTATCATTTACGATACTATTTTTTTGCTTTTTCCTACGGTTAGGAGTTGCTGGGAATGGGAAAGCAAGATGAGGAGCGTTATCGCTCTGGTCATTTTTGTTCTCGGATGTTACTATTTCGAACCATATATGATACCAGGTGTGGCATTATTGATTCTTCTAAAATATTACTTGGTAAGTATTTTTATTATTGACTTTATTCAAGTTTTAATCCCGCGCTCTTGCAGGTATTCTGTCTCTGTATATTCCAAATTAATATAATTATCTTGACACTCTTTATATATGTATGTAAAAGATAAAATATCATTATTTTATGAGATGACTTTAAAATTGTGATATTAAATTTATTTTTGTACGCTATATATATAAAATATGTCTTTAAGTTGATAAATCTAGAATCCACAAAAGAAAAACTGAAAGTTTTTTATTGGAAGGGATTAAAACTTAACATATATATATTGCCAGCACGATATATATTCTAAATCCTCCCAATTTTTAATTGTTATGCTGAAGCGCTTTACTATACTTTAACTAAACGTCTATTTTTGATTCTTTAGTCTTTATTCTTCGCTCCTTATTGCCTCCCGCAGAACCATTGGTCAAGTATGTACAGTGATAAAAATCATTGATACCATCACATCCAGTGAATGGAGCATGCGCTTCTTAAATATCCACATATTAATCAATAATTTTATTTTGAAATCTTACATATGTGAATGTGCCATGTGTTCGCGACTTAATTTTAAAAATTCTTTTAATAGGTTTTTATAATAAAAGAATAAATAATTGGAATTATATATAAATCGTATATATATCTGTAATGCATAATTCTGCTGTGTCATTTAGTTCGAATTTAAATAGATCTAGAATGGGTATTTTAATGATTTCAGAAAAACATTCAATCGAGTTCTTTATCTCCAAATTTTATACAAATATTAAAGATATATTTACAAATTCCCTCATAGAGTTTAAAAATATCAAAAGCCAAATATTTTTGCAGAGTTATTGTGTCTTAAAAAAATTACACAATACTTGATTTGACGAAATAGTAAAATTAATAATCGAACTAATAATCCACTATTATCTGAATCATTCTTTAAGATTTTATATACAAAACAAAATATTTGGCATCTTTTGTATTATAATTTATATATTTTGTATATTGTATTTTAAATTGACTCATCCTGCATAAATGCAAGTTACGTCCGCTTTGTTTCTTTATTGGCTATGTTGCATGTCGAATTTCTTTGCTACCTATCAGCTTAGCGGCGAGAGGAGCGGGTTCAATCATTGGGTTTGCGGACAGGTCGCTGTGGTGACAGGTGCACCTTTGACTTACGCAAATTCGCAGTTTCAAGATCATGCTGAAATAGGGTCCGACGATTGTCCGGCAACACCAGGGGACGACGACGATGATGAGGATGACAAAGATAAAGTAAGTCATTGTGTTTTCAAAAAATATGAAACTTAGTTACGGCATAAACAACAAGAAAGTATTTTTTCGTGACAAAAAATATACATATAAATATATA